CAGGCTGTGTCTGTCTCTCTCAAAATAAATAAATAAACTTAAAAAACAAAAAAAAAGCCAGAGTAGGTACCCAAATACTTGTGGGCAGGAAACACTTCCTTCTCTACACAGCACTAAATATGCCCTATTCCATGTGGAGAGACAGGATGATGCTCTCCGGTCTCTTTATTTTCCCTCCAGGACCCTGTTCTTCCTATCATCCCTTACTATTAATTTACATGGATGAATTAGGAAAAGAGCAAGCAGACATGTCTTTCCTTATTAATTATTGTCAGTTATTTCCAAAGTGCAAAATCATTAGACTGTTGGAATTTTGTTTTTCTGACTTCTTTACAGCTAGGGAAACACCATAAGGAAAAGACTCATAGCATTTATGGGGAGTGAGGGAGTACAGGTGAATTAAGGTAGAATATATGTAGCAGACTGACTACACTGATGACAAACCTAACTAGCCAGGCAGACTAATTACCTATTTTGTAAGTCTCATCTCTGAAAGGAAAGGTCTTTCAACTATCCTGTATCACAATAGCCTTGTGTATAGAGAAGTTAGTCTTACTTGATTGATAGTAGGGAAGTAAGAAGTAAGACTTAATAAGTGATATACTGGGGCGCCTGGGTGGCGCAGTCGGTTAAGCGTCCGGCTTCAGCCAGGTCACGATCTCGCGGTCCGTGAGTTCGAGCCCCGCGTCAGGCTCTGGGCTGATGGCTCGGAGCCTGGAGCCTGTTTCCGATTCTGTGTCTCCCTCTCTCTCGGCCCCTCCCCCGTTCATGCTCTGTCTCTCTCTGTCCCAAAAATAAATAAAAACGTTGAAAAAAAAATTAAAAAAAAAATAAGTGATATACTAAGATCATCTGACTTTTATTGCAGAATCAGCATCTGAAATCAGAGCACATAACTCTGCCTAGCATTCTGACTTTTGTAACAAAAGTGGAAATGGAGAATTAGTAGTGATTGCAGCTTCCTGGTTGTTTCCAAGAAGCCGTTAAATTTAAGTGATGCTCAGTAAAGAGAGCAAAACATTTAATGTAAAACATTAAGCCCAACTAGATAAGCCTAGCACAGGGAATAGGTTTTCCTTAGGGAATAAAAAGTTATTCCATAAGAAGGGGAAAGAAACTAGGCAAAATGAGATAAATTAGTTAGGTGAATATGATGTGTCTACCATATGCTCTGTACTCTTACATGTAGAATAGTGATCAGATTGGAAATTTCCGTGTCTCTAACATGACTTACTGGTAGGTTCCACATCATCGTAGTTATCTCTTAAAGGTGTTTCTTAATAGAACTAGTCCTTTTGATAAACCAGGGATTTATGCAGGGTCATAGGGAGAATAGTAATTGCAATTATCACAACTCCATAAAAATAGATGTTGTCTTTGTCTAAAACTTTGGCAGTAATTCTAATAAATAATTTGTTACTTGAATTTGCATGTGAGAAAAATCCTGGGTATGTGTTCACAGTGAGGGATGCAATACACAGAGCTTACCTGAAGTCTGCCTTCTGTATTAATTAGGTTAGATCTTAGGGGCAAATGACCTGACTCATAAGTGCTGCTGCTTGTCTTATCTTTGTGGTTTGTGGTTGACAAGGATAGATTTAATTTAACCATCAGAATAGGGAGGTCAAGTTGAAAATGTAGAGAAGTAAAATAGGGAAAATGGCTCCCCCCAAACTTGCCTTGGTCTCTGCTTAGGAGCACTGCTAAGCCCAGGACTTTCAGAACATTTTCTAAGCCAGTTAGAAAGGTTTAATGTGTAGAATTGGGAAGGGTTAAAAGTTAAGATAGTATTGTTATTGAGATGTTTTACTTCTAAATGGATGAGAAAACAATAGTTTAGCTGGTTTACTGGGTGAGAAGGAAGGTACAAATAGCAGTGGTCATTTATGTCATTGTGGTAACATACAGGAAAAATATTGAGTCCTTAGTTTGAAAACATTGTAGGCTTCTTTTTTTAAAAGAGAAGCTTTTCCAGCTTCAGCCTGGCAGCTCTTCAAATAAAATCACAAAGGAACAAGACACTATAAACAACAGTCCCACCCCTCAAAAAGCACTGCATAGACAAGCAGGCGCTCATGGCCAAGGCTGTGAAGGCAGGAGGAGGGGCAGCCCCTTAGTCACTGGAGCCGCAGCGGGCATACAGACAAGTGTGGGCCCCAAAAAGAGTGACAAGTGGACCAACACTGGCAGTTGTCCCCACATACTGGTATATTGGCAAGACAAACACAGCACAGGGCTGATTTACTACTTTTAGCCCCCTTATTTCAAGGGGAATTCAAGATCTTCTGGCACTAAGAGAGTCTTGTGTGCAAAAAAGCTCTCACTATAGGAGGGGAGAGACCCTTGTCTTCACAAAACACAAGCAAATGCTTTATCGCTGCTTCTCTTTCATCTTAAACACTGTGATCCCTTCTCTTATTTCTTTTTCCTTCATCTTCAGCCCTCCTCTGTGAGATGACACGTAGGATTCTTTTTGTTCTCTAACTCCTAGCTTGTTTTTTTTTTGGTATGATTGTGTCTTGGCTGACCTATGGCAATTTTCCTCATTTGGACAGAGTAATAGCTGAAAAACTGAGGAAACTTGGATCTTCGTTCTGCCTCAGATGTCAGATTATACATCCTCAGTTAATGGGAAGGAACATTGAGGCCACCAAGCTCCCTCCTACTGGGATACAGGGGAAGTGAAAAAGAGCCCAGATCACTCCTTAGAGCTAATTAACAAGCTGACTTTGGAGGAGGTCCTTTCCCTCACAGTGGACAGACCTTGGTTGGAGGCAGAACTGAAGCGATGGAAGAGGGATTCTCAAAGGAATTAGACAATGTGGTATCCTGATCATTAGGTCTCTTTTCTTCTAAGTTGGGTTGGTCTTCAGCTTTATAGTCCATGCTTTTACAATTGAAACATAAAAATAAAAAACCTAACAATCCAGGCTGTGTAAGTCTAATTTCATTGGTTTCTAGAACTCCTTCCTTCTAGGAAAATCATGGGTAGCATGATACTCATCTATGTCATCCTTTTTTACTTCAGGGTAATGATCCCAAAGGTGATACTCCTCTGATAGACACCTAAGGGAGATACCTCTTCATGGCTTTCATGTGCTTGGGCCTCCTTATCTCTGCCTGATTCTTTCCATCTCCTGCTCGAGTCCTTATTGCTTTTTAGAGTACATGACTTGTCTGCACCATGGAAAATTTGGCTTACAGTGAATGGCAGTCATCTGCCTATTCATTTCACCCCTTGGATTGAAGGGTTTAGCCTCGTAACATGGCTAATGCTGTGGGATGAGTAGAATACCAGAGGAATCAATCCTTTCTTGCTGATTTTTTTCTCACTAGAGAATGTGGTTTATAGCCTAGAAATCTGTGCCTGTTGGACAAGTCTTCCTGCATTCCTGGCTGCCTTTCACAGGCCTAGAATCATCGTTAGCACCATTATCCTTGGGGGCAGAATTAGATTGAAAGCCTCCATTTGAGAAATCTGTGATCCTAATTATGTTTTGATTCATTATCATTATTTAAAATAACTGAGCTCCTGTTATCTATTGGGCATCACACTAGGCAGAGGATTAGCCACAACCCAAGTCCTCTGGACCTGTTGGGCCTGTTGCTCAGACTTCAGAGATGCAGGCAGAACAGTGTCTGTCTTCAGTCCTAGTCTTCCCTCCCACCCCCACCCTCAGAGCTCTGCTTCAAGGCGAGTGTGGTTTCCCTGCAACTGCCTAGGCGTCCTCTTCTATAGGCCCTTTCTCTAGTCTAGACCATGTTTTGGTGTGTTCCTGGCAGTGTTCCCTGCTGCCTACCCAGTATGTAGTTGCCTACTGTTGGGCAGTAGCTCACTGCTCTGGCATCCTAGTGTGTAAATATTTGTCAAAGGACAGGGGCGTTTTCCCATTCCCCAAAAAGCATTCTGAAAAATGTGCCTGTTTTCTTAGTCATATTTCCAAGCTGTGGATCAGTTAGCCCATTCATTCCTTGCAGTTGACAGACACTGGCCTGGCCTTAGCTGGCCACATAAAGTCAGTATGCAGTAACTTCCGGCACGGTAACTTTCAGGCTTGAGTACCACGGTGTCTTGGACCTACAGGAACCATAGTGGACACGGTCAATATTAGAGAATACGTTGTTTCATTAACAGAAAGTATCACGTATCTTCCATAACGTGAATTAAATTTCTTTCGCTCATACTTGATACTGGAGGCATAAATAGAGTCAACAAAAATGAGAAAGCTAACCATATAAATTCTGGAGGAGAACTTTACTCTTCATGTTTGTGACTGGGCTTTCAGGTCTCATGTAATGTAGGTTTTTATACAACATCCGTGTCTGCCTCTGTAAAGGTACAGTGCTGAGCTGTCAGTTTAGAGGTGTTTTTCCCAGTGCAGTTGATGGTTTATCCTGTCACTCAATTCTACTTGAGACCAAAGCAGTTTGCCTCTGCAGGATGGCTTATTAGGCTGAAAAGGCAGTCTTTAGCCATGGAACAGTTTTCTGTCTGTGCAAAATCACATGACCCACATGTAAGGATTGAACTGTTGGTCTTAGCTATTATACTAGACTGTGAGCTCAGGATTTCTTTAAATTGTTCACCCAGCCTCAGTAGATTAAAGTAACTACTAATGTGTCTTATCAAAATGTTTGGCTCCTTCCTTTCCTTTTCTCTTAAGTCTCGCCTTCTAGCACCCCTTCCTCCTCACTCTTGTTTTTTGACCTAATCCTCAGTCTTCTACAGATCTGACCAGCATGCTCTCATATGGATCCTACAACCCATAATATATGTGTGTGTGTGTGTGTGTGTTCACTTTTTCTGTTTTCACTGTTTACAAGTACCTCAACCCTCCAGAATTTGATCTAGGGGCATGAGGCTGTTGGGTGTTGAAGTCTTAATTGATTAGGAAACAATAATATATGCTGTGCAATACAGCAACTGCTTTTCCTTCATAAAATACAACTGTTTTGAAAGGACTGAATATCTATTTTAATACATAAATTTCTTCCCATAGATCATCAATTTCTACATGAATATGTTGATGGAGCGAAGTAAAGAGAAGGGATTACCAAGTGTGCATGCATTTAATACCTTTTTTTTCACTAAGTTAAAAACGGCTGGTTATCAGGCAGTGAAACGTTGGACAAAGAAAGTGGATGTGTTTTCTGTTGACATTCTTTTGGTGCCCATTCACCTGGGAGTGCACTGGTGTCTTGCTGTGAGTACCTCTCCTTTAATCAAATTTAAAAGAAATCTACATAATTATAGAATATACAGAGCAGTGAGTAGTAATTCTACATTTTCACTGGATGATTGTGAGAAAGAATAGTATTTAGTTGGCTGAAAATTGGATAGATCAATGAACTTCCTGTCAAGAGTGGGAGATACTTAGACTTTGAAGAAAGTTGTGGAATTTCCTTTTCTGGAAATATTTAAAAGGGAGTTGTAAGTCTATAAACAGCCTCAAGGCAAGGCATGGGGAGAAAAAGTGACTTTTTATGATGCTGCCAACTCAGATTCTGTGACTATTGTTTTCTGCCTAATCATGATTTGCATACTTGGTAATTTAATACTTTTTATGACCCTGAGAACATGAATACATTAGCTTAATATATTAACAAAAATATAAAAGTTATTTCACAATCTATTTTGAATTACATTTTAAAAGCATAAAGCCAAAGAGAAATTCTGTACATAAAGAACAAAACCCCAAATCTTTTACCATCTTTCTGACACTGTGTGGAAATGATTTTATTCATCTTACAGTCTCTGAAGAGCATGTGTGTCTTCACTGTTGTCTACATTGCAGATGAAGAACCTACATACGAGAAAAAGATTTCAGGGCCACTAATGAGGTCACCATAGTTCCATTTAAATAATCCCCTTCTTCTTTCCTCACAGCTTAAGCATGGTATAATGCAGAGTATCAGTTAAACTTGTTGTGATTTCACAAGAAATCTGGCAAAAGGCTCTAAATTCCAGGGAAGGGAAAAGCTGAGAAACTACTTTTCTTCATTTTATAAACATGCAGATTTTTTATTCCCAGGTTGTGGACTTTCGAAAGAAGAATATTACCTATTACGACTCTATGGGTGGAATAAACAATGAAGCCTGCAGGATCCTCCTGTAAGTAGGGAGTTGAGGACAAAAGAGTTTGGTGTCAGGGCATATGTTGTGTTTTTCCAGCTGTTGAACTCAGTTCTTTTGTTACCGTCAATGGAGTGATTAATAAAGAAAATTTTCATATTAAGAATGGATATTTTATGTCTGAGTAAGTCAAGTTTAATAGTAATATATTGATACCCAAAATATATGGGACAACTATTGTCCCAGTGCACTAAAAATAATGAGTGAGTCAATATGTATATATAGATAATAGAAACTACTTAGAAATCATCTAATCCACCCTCCTAATTTTTCAGATGAAGAAATCAAGACCCACAGAGGTGACTTTGATATGCTCAGGTCCTACTAGTTAGTGGCTCAACTGGGAACCAGAATGCAAATCTCTTTATACCCTTTATCTGTTTCTCTTTCCAAAATGCCTCTTCCTCACTGTACCACTGTACCACTCTGGTGGCCAGGAGGAGGTAGGTTCCAGAATGGTGAACAGTTTGCACTTAAGAAGAGTGCTGTATATGAGGTATGCACTCATCAAGTTGTGATTTGGATTGAATTTTCACACAGGAGAGTCAAAACTAAAAATAGTGAATAAATGTCTTGATATTGCTAGAGAAACCTTCTTCCACGAGACTGAGTTCTAAAGGACCATATAAACCAGGGAAAAGAATCAAAACTCATTCCTCAAGATGAGTAGCAGGTAGCAGGAACCTGGGTGTCAGAGGCAGAGGTCATGTTTCTCTTGGGTTGCCAGGGTGGGCATGAATTATGGGGAGTTGCAGGGGAAGTTTAGGAGTCCAGAGATTCCCTGCCCAGCATTGCATTATATACTGTTTTCCCCAGAAGTGCAAACAAAATCCTTCTTAAGGATTGTTAGCCCCATTCTTAAGGTGGCAGCTGTCCTTAGTGTTCCCACAGCTCATCTCATTCTCTCCCAATGCCTTTAGCCAATACCTAAAGCAAGAAAGCATTGACAAGAAAAGGAAAGAGTTTGACACCAATGGCTGGCAGCTCTTCAGCAAGAAAAGCCAGGTACATTTCATCTTGATAAAGTAGAAATCCTGGGAAGGAAAGGGTTTTACTGCTTGATTCCCAGGGACCTTCTATCTGAGTGTCTAGCCTGACTTCAGCTTGGTTGTTTGGTTTCTCAGGGAAGATAGAGTAAGTTCTGTGGGAAAACTGGTAATGTGTTTCTCATGCAGAAGTAGGTTTTCTAAATGCCCAGCTATTTTGCTGAGCTTTTCACTCCTGTGGGAAATGTTTGCTGATTGGCCATTGTGGGAGGGACTAGTCTTTACATCCTTGGGTGTCATGGAAGTCTAAGAGAGTCTCCTGTGTTATTAATATGAAGATTAATATTAATATGAAGACCTGACTGAGATGCTATATTTTTTCCTCTGAGCTTCTGTTGTTCTGGGTGGTGGACTTAGGGTCATCTCTTCAAAATTCAGGGAAACCTATAACATTTATATTCTTTGGTTCTTATTTATAATCTAATTAGAAGGAAAGAAGCTTGGAACAATGTTACCTTTTTGTTTTTGATCTTTCAGGAAATTCCACAGCAGATGAATGGAAGTGATTGTGGCATGTTTGCCTGCAAATATGCTGACTGCATTACCAAAGACAGACCAATCAACTTCACACAGGTGAGCTGAGCCTTCAGGAAGGAGCCCTGTGACCACCCTGTCTCCAGGCTGCCCGATAGATGTATTTTCATCCACTTGCTCTGCTTATGGGACTCTGTCTGTGGCTCATAACACTGGTGGTTACTGCCTGTACCACATCACAAGAAAAAGGATAGTGATAGGCTACATCCTGGGTTATCTTACATCACGTATTGTAGTCAAGGAATCCTGGTCATTAGCAGATTCTTCTTCTCTGTCTCTCTCCCCCACCTACCTCAATTCCTATAGGAAACAGAGAACTGGGACCAGAGCACGTTTTCTTCATTTTCTCTTTATTTAGTTAGCAGTCAGGTTTTGTAACAGGCCACACCTTGAACTCCTAGTGTATTTGTCATGTTGCTTTCCTCCTCTCTGCCCCTCACCTGATACAGCTGATCATTCTTCTCTTAGTTTGTGATTGTTTATTTCTGTCCACGTGGTCCTTCAGAGACCAGAGTGGATTGAGACTAGAGATTATGGTTTATTCTATGTCCTTCACTTCACATTAATGGTTTTACCAGACTTTTCCACCATAGCCCTTGAGTGGAGCTGATCCTTGCAGTTCCTATAACTCTTCCCCTAAAAAGTGAATTTTTGATTTTTGGGCCTTAGACTCCTACCTTCTTCAGGGTTCAACATAGAGGACTTGATAGACACCATTCTCAAAATTCTTAGAGAAGTTCAGGTATAGCCTGGGGACTTCTAGCAATGCCCAATAAAATTTGTAAGGCCACAACAATGGAAAAGAGCAATAGAGATAGCAGTAGAAAACAATAGAAGAAAATTACATGTAATCAAGAATTGAGCAATTTGAAAGACCAGAAATGCAACTGAGGCTCTTTTAGTTGTAAATCTTGAGAAGGAAAGAAAGGAGTATTGGGTCTGGGTAAAAACAATGAAAAAAATTAAGTGTATCTCTGTGTCCCTACAGCAACACATGCCATACTTCCGGAAGCGGATGGTCTGGGAGATTCTCCACCGAAAGCTCTTGTGAAGACTGTCTCAGTTAGCCGACATTGACCTTGCGGGGGACCAGCTCTTTGTTGTCTATAGCCAGAGACCTTGGAGACAGCTGCTCCCAACCCTCTGTTCTTGTAAAGCCCTTGATCCTGGACCAGGCCCTGGCGAGATGCATTCACAAGCACATCTGCCTTTCCTTTTGTATCTCAGATACTATTTTTGCAAAGAAACTTTGGTGCTGTGAAAGGGGTGAGGGACATCCCTAAGCTGAAGAGAGAGACTGCTTTTCACTTCTTCAGTTCTGCCATCTTGTTTTCAAAGGGCTCCAGCCTCACTCAGTCCCTAATTTGGGGGCCGAGAGAAGCTTGGACAGATTCTTGGTTTCATATAAACTCTTGTTAGGCCTTACTAAGAGGTAGGAAAGGGCATGGGCAAAAAGGTAGGGATGAAAACCACCAGCATATACACGCACACATACATACACACAGGATTTTCAAGATGTGTTGTCAGGAAAGTGACTGTAAACTGGACTTTGGGTCACATGCATAAGTCCCTCCTCCAGGATTTTCCCTATTTATATGCCTCTTTGTGAAATCCGTCTGCTTCTGTACAAGGCTATTTTATCATCTGTAGCTTCCTCCCATCCTGAGGCACAGCACATGAGCCCTGGGTGGACCCCAAAGTCCCAGGCAGTCCTTTCCTTAAAGCAGGGGTTTGCATGTGCTCACAACACATGATATGGGGAAGACCCACCCAGGGAGCGGTTTAGTGGAGCAACAAAGGCACCACTTTTACTGCCGCCTACTTCTGACCAAGAAGAAGGACCTCAGTCTTTAGCATAAAATTCCAGCATTGGATGAATGCAGGTCTAGTTTGGTCTGTGGCTAGTTAGTTTAAATATGTTTCTAACCACAGAGAGTTTTATATATATATATATATATATATATATATATATATATATATATATATATATATATATATATATATATTTCACAGGGATACGTGTTTTTTTAAAAGGCTGAATGTGTTCACCACTTTAGCCTGTAGATTTATTTCCATTTTCCAAATTTAGCTCTAGCACGCACAGATCCCAGCCCCTATGTGTAGGGTGTTTGTGGACTTCCTAACAATATTTTGAGGCCTGAATGAACTTTGGCTTAGGGGTAGAGGTTACAGAGGGAGGCAAGATTTTCAACTGGAAAACGGGTGGAATTTGGACTGATCGACTTGAGACTAAAAAAACCGCTATTCCTTTTGTTCTTTCTAGCATCTCCCCCACCCACCGAGCGCTCCTCAGGCTAGATAGTGAAACGATCCAATGCCAGTGTCATTTTGTACTTCAGTTCCAAAATAGGAACGTTTTATACTTTTTTCTGTATTGTAATAGGTAGTTTTGTATGAAATATTTTCTCTTCTTCCCTGTACCCCATCCTTTCCAACATTGTGCTTTCTCTCTGGGCTTATTTGAAAATTTTACTCTGTTTTATACCAAGCTTGTTTAGTACATTTTTCTATGTTTTACCACAGGTTACAATTTGAAAAGAAAACTATTTTTTTTAAATATTCCATTGTTAACTGAATGTTACTGTTTCCACTCCAGCAACTAGATGTCCTACCTTTTTCATAACTGCCTGCCTTTTTGGGGAAGACCACCTTTACTTTCTTTCCTTCCTTCCTTCCTTCCTTCCTTTCTTTCTTTCTTTCTTTCTTTCTTTCTTTCTTTCTTTCTTTCTTTCTTGTGTTTTTCTATAGGAAATAAATAGCTTTCTATTTATGAGTTGCTGAGACCTTTCACATTCTCTGTTAGAAAGCTATGGCATGCAGGCTCATTGTAGGACTCCTGTACATGGATTCTTGGTACTTAATGTATTTCAGTGGCAACTTGAAAGGTGGCAATATGGTATAGATTCTGATTATGAATCAGAAGACCTGAGTTTTTTCAGGTGCTCTTGCTACTGTCTGGGGGACTCAGAACAAGATAGTTCTCTGTATTTATTGTTTGTCCATTTAGATAACATCTGTCTTACCTTCCTCACAGACTTTTTGTACAGACCAAAGCAACAAATATTTATTGCCATGTATAACAGAAAATGAAACATGCAACAAAAGCACTTTGAAAAATATATAAGGAATTGTTGAGCCTGTGTGAACGTGGACCCCCTTTCTGGTCAATACATTTTTGTACAAGGGGAAGTTAGTGATCCTGAGACCACCCTACATGGGTGGACCAAGCTGAGACATAGGTTGTGGCCCAGGGTGGCTCAATGGGAACCACCCATTTGACTATATTTGGGTCTATATTTGACTTCTGTAGTGGGCTATTTTTCCAGAGAGCTAGCCACAAGATCAGGACTAGCATCTGGAAACTTAATTTCTCCTTTATTTAAGGGTGGGCTTTGATGACCAGGGAGGGGAAAAAAAGAGGTTCTTGCATTATATGGCTAAGGGCATGCTACCAATATCTTATCTAAATTGCTTTAAACTAAAGCCTATTGCTTTCCTTTTCTCCTATCTTCCATTCTTCTCTGTGCTCAGTGCTCGTAATGACCTACCTCCCCTTAAAAAGGAACACTCGAGAGATGATGAACTCTATCTAGATATAGAGCCTTCAACAGAAACCACAGTCCCAACAATCACTCCTGGACCCTGTACAGAGAAAATCAGAACATTTGAGAATACATGGCCCAAGGCATGGAGGTTAGTTCTGTCCCATTTTTTTGCCTGGGACCCATCGTTGCTCCTGGGAGTCCTGTTTGGGGTTGAATGTAAGAGTTCTTTTCCCTCTTCCTCTCCATCATGGAGACTGTGTATAAATGTGTAAATTGACTTCTCTATATATGAGATGCTTCATACATGTGTGTGGTATCAAATTTTCTTTAGCCCCTCTAATTGTGTAATTGTGCCAGCATCTTCTACCCACTGTCCCTAGCAATGTCCCTAGCACTGTCCCAAGTTTTAGTGTCCTGGGGCAGACACAGGTAGCCTGAAAAAGTACTGCCAGCAACTCCATCCCATAGTCTGTCCATCACCACCTGGTTTCACACGGCTTATAAAAGGCCTAGAGGAGAAGGAGAGGGTTCACTTAAGAGCACCAGTGTTTTTAATGTTTCGGCTTCTGGTCATTCTCCCTTGCCATCCCTCCAGCTCTCAAATATGTCTTCAGAGTAAGAGAGACAGATAACTGACACTTAGACTTTGTCTTCTCCCTTGCTCCACCTGGATGGGCCAGGGCAAGGTAGAATATAGAGTCTCAGGCCCTGTTGGTGATTCAAACAGGCTATATGCTGAGCCCCTGGAGAAGTTGCCATGTTTCCCTGCCCAGGAGGAACCTGCCCATAGCTTCAAATTCATCCTAAAATTTTGGAGGGGACAAATAAGGCTGAGCCAGCATCTTTCCTTATAGCCCAGGGCCTATTTCACCTGTGCTGAGTCCTAACACTAGCTATCTATTAAAGAGCCCATCTAGTAAGACTACCATTCCCAGCTTTGGAGATGAGGAGAGACCTAAGGGTATGTGGGGTCATGCTGGTCATCCACTCATGAATCCCCTGTAGAATATAAAAGAGAAACTAGAAGACTTTGAGCCAGAAAATAAACCTTAAGATAATGTTAGTGCAGGCTGCCTCTTTGGTCTGTTAGGGATAGGGTAGGGATAATTCCAATTATGAGTGGTTGGACCAAATATCTAGAGTCTTGTCAAAGTCTAAGATTCTGAAACATTGAGGGCCATAATCCTGCTTGGAATAGAATTCAGTCAAAGTAAAGATTCAAAGTTTAAGGCCAGTATGCATATGGCTTCGTCATAATAATAAGGCCCAGGTCAGAGTCTCATCCTAATGCAACAGATCATGGCTGTTGCCTTTTCTCCATTCTCAGCTGACAAGTAGCCATCAACTGCTTGACTCCTGGAGAATGTCCTTCCCCCTCTGCAGAACCGGAGTGTCCAGAAGGGAAAGTTTGAGAAAGAGAGGTACATGGAGCCCAGGGTCTTCAATCCACTGGACACCCTTCATTCAGTTTACTCCTGTGTTCCTTTCACAAGTACCTGTAGAGCACACACAGACCCAAATCCCCATCTGCCTGAAGCCTTCCCTGATTGCATTATCTTAAAATCTCTTACTAGACCACTGCAGCCCTTATAATCAGAATGATATAATTCCACATGGTATTTGTATTGTATTCTTTTAAAAAAAAATTTTTTTTTAATGTTTATTTTTGGTTGAGAGGAAGAGCATGCATGAGTGGGGGAGGGACAGAGAGAGAGGGAGACACAGGATCCGAAGCAGGCTCTAGGCTCTGAGCTGTCAGCACAGAGCCCGATGTGGGGTTCAAACTCACGGACTGCGAGATCATGACCTGAGCTGAAGTCGGACACTGAGCCGTCTGAGCCACCCAGGCTCAGGCACCCCTGTAGTATGTCTTTTACATCAGGAATGGTCTGAGACCCATTGCCACAGAGGGCAGGTGAATGATTTGGTGCCTTTTCTTCAAGCCAGGAGTGCGAGCTGCTTCTCTGGCTGGCCAGGGAGGAATGGGGGTAATTGCATTAAACACTGACTCAGAAAGACAGCATTTTGAGGATCAGAGAACGAGGGCTGCCTATGGCAGCCTGCAGTGGGGCTGCGCCTCCTTTGTGGTTCCAAACAGGTCATCTTTGGTCCAACACCTAAAGCCCCACTCGGCCCTTGCACATCTTCCTTGGCAGGTTAGCCTACCCTTGTGGGGTCATAGTCTCTGTCCCAAGGGGCTAATCAAAGTGTTTTTTTTCTAACCACACATCTTTCTGGTTTTCTCCATCTTTTTTATTTCCAGTGATGTACATCCCTTGTAGATTGAGACTGTGACTCCCTGTCTTTCTGCCTTGCCCTTTAAATGGACCATTTTACGTGCTGCCTGTCTGTGTCTTGTCTGTTAGCCAGGGCTAAGTTCCTGGAGGGCGTTTGCCTCATCTGATACTCTGGGGAACCCCTTACACTGGGTCTTTAATAAGCATGTGTTTAAAGCACTGGACTCGGGAGCCCTGGAGGGTGGTGT